TGAGCTCTTGTTGTACCTGCATTTACTAACGCCTCCTCCCCAAACTGTGCTCTTTTTAATTCCACAGGATTAGGGTGAATCTACCCCTATGTCTGCCCATGGGATATGCACATAGGGCTAAAAACCTCCTTGGAGGGAAAGTAAAGTAAAGGAAGAGATGGGCGACATTTATAAAAATTCCCTTAAGCTTCATGGCCTGAATAGCACAGTGCTTGTCACACTGGGTTGTTGGGGGTTGTTTGCTTATTTAGTACATTTGATTGTGAGCTCTCGGAGACCAGGGCTGTCTGTGTCTTAGTCACATTAGTATGCCCCGGTCCTAGCACGTTACCTGCAACAAGAATAGGTGTTCAACAAAGCTTATATAAAGGAATAGATGAATGAATGGTTTGTCTTGATATAGCCCAGTCACATGCCCACTGAAAAGTGGTAGTTGGCAGAATTGCAATATCTGCTTCCATCTGTGGTACGAAGGCCTGATTTACCTGAGCCATGGGATAGGAAGTTGGAACACAGGTCTGTGGGCCTTTTTGTCACACCAACAGAAACATTCTCAGTTAGAACCCTTAACAATGCATATGCTAGGCTGGGTATGTGACATCTTGATTCTTTATGTTTCACTGATTCCCAGGAGATTTCTACAAAAGAATAGAATTGCCTTGGCACTGCCTTGCAGTGGAAGCAGGTCAGAGGCTCTGCGCAGAGGAAGCAGGTTTTGGGCACTAATGGCTCACAGCAGTTTTTTTAAGGAGCACCATTTCTTTCCTGCATCTTTCAAACCCTGAGAAGATAAATAATGTAACATTGAGGGCTTAAGCAATTGTCTGCTAAGAAGGATTGATCACCATTTGGATGATAAGGAAGTGCCTCTGATAAATGTGTACTGGACGTGGGGCGTGCAAACTGAGTTTTATTTGTACTCTCTGCCGCGATCTTGATGCTTTCATTGAAAATCTGAGAGAGAGGGACCTTCTGAGGTGTCTTCGTGCAGTGGAGAGAGATGTGCGGTCGGAGTCAGAAGCCTCAGGCAGGACTCAGGCTCGCCAGTTAGAGGGCCCAGGACACGCCACACAACCTCCTGGAACTTTGCTTTTCTCCCTGTAAAATCAGGATTGTGTCTCTAAAGTCGCTGTGAGAATCAGAACAAAAGGGATACTGCGCAAGGAAAGCTTAGTAAAGAATTATTTTATTTGATTGTCAGCTAGAAGCAATTTTTATCGTCCTTCTCCCAGGTCAAGGTGAAATTGAGATGGTAGAGTCTACTTTCCGACCTCTGTTTTTTCCCCTTTCCCTCTGTTTATGGAACTCTCCAGATCTGTTGTGCCTAGATGATTGCTCTCCCCACAGTTACTCCAAGCACTGTAGGTACACCCTCTCTTTCACTCTGCTTCCGTGTGGAGTCTTAAACGTCGTGTGCACGTCACTGTTGTGTAATGGATGTGCAATGTCCTGCTGTAGTCACAATATATAGATATATACAAACGTGGTGCTTAAAAAGGAATTAAAGAGCCATCTGAACCAAACCAAAGACTGAACAAGATTTGGCATCAGACGCGTAGTGTGAGGAATGCCCTTTCAAAACTCTACTTGAGTGAGTGCTGGGTGGTCATGCGAAGTTGGTTCTCATTTATTCACATGAAACACGAGAACAGCATTTTAATCTATGCTACCGTGTGACACAGGAATGTCATGACAGTGTGTGTATGGAGAGTGTTGAACTCCTTGGTTGTATGGTTAAGAAATAACTAGAACCAGTAATACCGTATGTGGAAACAGACTGATCCATAAAGCAAGAAGTAAACCCTAGAACTAAGTTGAGCGTAGGCTAGTAAAAGATCCCATTTTAATAGCTGATGTCTGTCTAGCCCCAGAGTGACCTCTGCTCTGTTTTGTTTTGATGAAAAAAATAGTAGCAATAGCCAAGAAATTAAGAAATTATGTGAGATAATGGTAAAATCTCTCAGTACAATAGCGACAACAAAGTGGACTCCAAACTGGAAGGAAGAAGACTTCAGTGTGCTTATATTTTCGAGATGACCACATCCAGGACAGCTGACTGTGATTCACAGTTTAGTTTATTTTGAGGTCTTTTAAACCTAAAAGTATGATTCTTTGGAAGTCTCCCTTAGGACATATTTGATTAAACACACATTCTCAAAGTTGTAATCAAATCAGAATCAAGGCTCATAACTGTCAGTAATTTCATTTAACATCTAACATCCCATGATGGATGGTTCTGATCTAGTTATCAGAACTCTAAAACTGGAAGTAATTTTGCATTGTGCTTCACTCTGAAACATCCACCTAAGAAAGTTGCTCTAACAAGTAACATTCGGGCGGGGTGTCGATAAATGCACACGCATCTCCTGAGGAAGGAGGGAAGGAAACCACCCTTTGATGAGCTTTCACCATGTGCTTCTACAGATTATGTGATGTGAAAACTTCATTAAAACTAAATTAAAGCGTGATCCTGAAATTACGAAAGTCCTAATGGAGAGTTAATGACCAGGGTGAGAATAGCGTGGCTTTGTGTGTTGCCAATTCTCTTTCTCCTTACATCCACTTAGTTGGAAAATTGTCCCATCTGTACCTTCAAGATATACCAGGATCTCATCAATTCTCATGCCCCATTGTTGTCTTTCAGGCCCAAGTACCAGTTCATCTCCCTGGGATGCTAAGAGCAACCTGTCTCCTCTGCACCCACACCTGCCCCAGAGTCAAAGCCTAAACCCCCTCAGCCTGCAAGGTCCTGACCGCTGCCCTCCTCCCTCCTCTTTACCTTACCTTCTGCTATTCCTCTGCTCTTAGTCACCGCTGACCCCCAGGGTCTAGAGCAGTGTTGGGCACATAGATTCACAATAAGGATTTGCCGAATGAACATATGGACGGCAATTAACTGGACATTACCATGCGCTTGGTACTGTGATGGTCTCTTTTGGGTGGCAGATAAGAACTAAAGATAAATCTTGGTTCTTGTCTTCTTAAGGACGGGGGAATGTACTAGCCAAGACAGGTGTGGCTTCCTTCTTTATCGCTGGTGTCCCTCCTGGCTGGAGCCAAAGCTGCAAGCCCGTCTTGGCTACTGTGTTGGTGTCCTCTGGCTGTTACAACAAATAACTGGGTGGCTTAAACAATAGAAATTTATTCTCTCACAGTCCTGGAGACCAGAAGTCTGAAATTAGTTCACTGGATCGAAGTCAGCCACAAGCTCTAGAGGAGAATCAGTCCTTGCCTTTTCATCCCCTGGGAGCTGCCAGCATCCCTGGACTTGTGGCCACATCACCCCCGTGTCCGGCTCCAGCCTCACATTGTGTGGTCAAATCTCCCTCTCCTCCTTCTTAGTATAAACATGATGGCATTTAGGGCCCACTCAGAAAATCCAGGATAATCTCCCTGTCTCAAAATGCCCCCCCCTCGCCAGCCCATACAAGATGACATTCACAGGGTACAGGGATTAGGACCGAGTATCTTCTGGGGGGCCGTGTTTCAGCCTGTCATGGCCACCATCCTTCCACATCCACGGATGACGGCAGAAAAGGGAGAAGACTTTTCCACAAGCTCCAGTTAGAAAAGTCTTGACTCTGAGTGACCTGCCTTGGCCGCTAGAGATTCCTGAGCCAATGGGGGAGTGGGGCTGTGGGAAGGAGGGGGCTGGGGGCTGTCGCTTGATTGGCATGGGGGAAGGGACTGCTATTCCCCAAAGAAGGGCAGGGTGGAGGCTGCTTGGTGGACAAAAGCCATCCCTCCATTAGATGGCACGTGGGGAAACACCATGGCATTAGGGAGCCATGTAACAAAGTGTGTATTTTCACGGTAAGATCTTGCAAACTCTGAGCGCCCTGGGAGCTCATGCAGCTTGCAAGATGAGCGAAGACGGAGCCCTTGCTGGGAACCAGGAGCACATTTTCCCAAAAGGAAGGCGGCAGGTTTATGTCTTTCCTGGAAGCTCAGATTGGGCAAGAGGCACAGGCCGGGGCTTAAGGGCATGGTTGTGTTGTTTTCGTTGTTTCGTTTCAGAAAGGAAACACTGTATTTCTAATTTCATGAGTTTACAATTCATTTGTCATTTTTTTTCCCACTCTGAGGAATGACACAAATCTGGTCAAGGTTTGGGTTGTCATGACGGAGAGCTGACTGAGTTCGGCAGGATCAGGTCTATGAGGACACCGGTCGCTGTCGCCTCCAGGGGCGCTCCGAGCCCGCGCGTTCCGGGCGGGAGCTGACCAAACGCGGGCCGCAACGAGCAATTGAGGCAGTGTTAAAATTACAGAAATGGGAGAAGCGAGGTCAGTTAGGTCCCTGGCCTGGATTATAAAGCGCGCTTAAAACTGTTTCCTTCTCAGCTAGTACCATGCGCCCCGCAGAAATGACCGCCAGGAGCGACAGTGTCTCAGGATCTTCTAAAAGCCCCTTTCCTGGGCGCGCCAGGTGCGTGGGAAGGACGGGGCTAGGCCGGGAACGACGGCGACGCGCAGAAGGAGTGCAGGGTCCCGGCCCGCGGACACGCGGTATTTATTTAAGGGCAAAGTGCATTCCTGGGCTTGGCAGCCACTGGGCTCATTTCCCCAGCCAGAAAATGAGAGGTTAGACAAGGGGACGAAATTCCCTGGTCCCGTGGCCTGGCACGGCGACCACTGAGTTGCCAGAACCTCCCAGTCGGGATCCGGGGCGCCTCGGACCCCTGCCCCACGCCCCGCCCCGGCCCCGGCCCCGGCCCCGGCCCCGGCCCCGGCCCCGGCCCCGGCCCTCCTCGGCCCCGCGCCGCCGCCGGCAGGGGGCGCCCGCGCGCGGCTAAAAGGCGCGGCGGGAGGTCGGCGGCCCCAGTGGCGGAGCGCAGCGGCCGGTGCGCGGCCGGGAGCGATCGCCGCGGGGCCGGGGCGCGGCGGGCACTGCGCAGAGCGCGCAGACCAGACGGACGGCGGCGGGGACCCGACGGCAGCGCCTCTGCACCCCCGACTCCGGCCCGCGTCCCCGGCCAGCCCCGCGCACCCGGGCTCCCGATGGCCCCCGAGGCCGGGGCGCCCCCGCGCCCGCTGCCCTGGGCGGCGCTGCTGCTCCTGGCCGCGCTGCTCCCCGTCGCCTCCTCGGCGGGGGCCCCAGGTACGCAGCGCCCGCCCGGCTGCCGGCTCTCGGCGCCCCGCTCGCCGCTTCTCTGCCCACCCGCCCGCTGCTCCGGGGACCGCCGCCCCGCTGTGGGGCGCGCGTCGTGTCACTAACCTGTGCGTCCTCCTCACCCGCGGGTCGGGGCGCGCGGTCTGGGCACAGCCGGCCCAGGGGCCCGCTGCGCCCCGGCTTTAGCTTTGCGGTCGAACGCCTTGGGGGCCGGAGGCTCGAGCCGTCTAACTGCCAGGGAGATTCAGGCAAAGAAAAAGAAGAAAACGAAAACTCTCAGCGTTGCGGGGGAGAAAATGCCTTTGGTGCCCAGAATTGCCCCGGGGGCGTAGGTGGCCATCCTCCTTTCTTCACGTTCACCTGTCCGGAGACAGGATGGCTGTTCGAGGGGGCACTAGGGAGAGCGGAGGGAGGCAGGGAAGCAGGACTGTTCTAGAAGGGCCCAGGGAAAGGCTGGAGCCGCCCCGGGGCCGTCGGGGTCTCTGCGCTCCAGGAGGAGCTGCGCTTTGGGAGATCTGCTCCAGGGAGCTGAAAGCCCGAGAGCCCCGGTGGGAACTTTCGAGCTGGGAGAAGACTTTTGTCTTGAGAGGAGGGAGAGGAAAGTGAGAAAGTCTTTTCCAGAGAAGCTCACCCTTCCCCATGGATGGCTCGGGTTGGAGCCGGGATGGATGCTTGCTTTGGGAGCAGTGCTTTCTAGAAAATGCTGCGCGCTCATCAGGTTTCTTGCATGTTTCCCGCAGAGAGAGACGAGTTTGCGGTGGGTTTTTCATCCCTATGCCTCTAACGGCCCTTGTTCCCACCTCCAGTGTGGGCATTTTCACACTTGAAACCGTGTGGCTTTTATTTATGTCATCGGCTCGTAGAAATGCAAGAAGTAAACGTTGTTGATACTGTCCACGTCCAGCTGTGTTAGAAAAATTCAGATGCTATTGCAGTGAGAGTTACTTGCTTTATGATGCTATTTAGTGTCCGTTTTGCTCTCTTACCACAAGGGTCAAGGGAGAAAAGTTGAGGGTCACATTGCTTTGCCACTTTTTGGTGGATATATGCCTAATGCTTGGTTCGCGTTTATGCCAAGTATTTCGATGGCTGTGCCACTTTTTAATAAAAGGCTGTGCCAGCAGTAGGGTCTTTTCCCCCCTGGTAGTGACCTCTAGGAAGGCATTCACTGAATATTTTGAACATTACTTGACAGGAATAAAACTATTTCAAAGTCTTCCAACTCCCCCACCCACAACTCCTGGCTTTTGTTTTTCTAAGTTAAAATTTTCTGAGTGTTGAAAGAGTTTTTGTTTCAGAAAACAGTCAGAAACTAGAGCCAGTGCTAAACTGGCTTGGTGGTGATTACAGCTTTATTCCTTTCGACTCCTCTGCCACCTGCAGATGGGTTACCCATGAGTGTCTGAAGGCAGGGTTGTTTGTGAGGCTCCCGGAATCCTGCCGAGTTCTGCGCCGTTCCTTCTTTTGCCTTCTGCTCTGTAGATCACAGAGCTGTGGAATGTCGGAGCCGGAATGCTTCCTGGCACTTCTCTCTGCTGTGTTGACGTGGGATCTGCAGTAAAATGATGACCAGACTAGAAATGGACAAAGGAGGACAAGCACATTTCAGAATGAGTATCTACCACATTTAAATAGAGAAACACACTTAGCAACCTGCGGATAGCTTCTAGTGCTGTGGAAAAAATCATGGGGCATGTAATTTATTTCATGGGCTCCTTCTGATGGCAACATTGTGGGCAGATTTCTCGCTTTCTCTGGTTGAAATAATGCAGGGACCAAGCAGGCTGCTTGTGTCAAGCCCTCCCAGCCTCCTACTCCTTTGGGGCCAAGACTCTCTGTCAGGAAATTGCCCAGGGCGGCATAATAGAGGCAGACACTGCACTGCAGCTCCAGAGGGGCTCTCCTAAAAGCAGAAGTGATTTGCAGGACACAGTGAAGTTCTAAATAAACCTTCAGCTTAGGGTCAATTAAAACACAAAAAATAAACAAGCATGCAATGCTCGACATCCCAATCCATCCCTACACTAGGCTGCTGTGCAAACATTAAAGTCATGATGGTGCTTGCCAGTCTGATATGATACATTTTTCTAAAAATCACACACATGCACACATTTACAGTGGCTATCTTAGGGTGCTCAGAGGTGATTTTTATTTTCTTCCTTAAAGATCCTTTCAGGGAATCTTTGAGGTCAAAACTATTTTCAAAGTAATATTAAGATGCTATTTGCCTTTTTCACTGTGTTAGCATTTACACTGAGGGTGCAGAAGCTTAGTGGGTAAACTGCTAGTGCCTTACCATGAAGCAAGGCAGGGACGCTGTAATGTGCTAGCAGCCATTGACTTTTTCTAGCCTTTGCAGTTAAAAAAAGATTTGCCAGTTTCAGTTAAGAATGTCCTTGATGCCACAGTAAAATGATTCATTTTACCAAATCTTTATGTCTTTGAATGCATGTCTTTTAAGTATTCTGTGTAAAGAAATGGGAAGGACACAGAGCACGTCTGCTGACTATCAGGCTTAATGGTAACCCCAAGAAAAGCACTTGTGTGATAGTTTGAGTTGAGAGTTGAACTAGCTGCTTTTTTTTTTAATGGAATGTGGTATTTACCAAAAAGAATGACTACAGAGAAACTATAATTATTTTGACTTGGGTATTTGGCAGACATTTTCTCAAAAATGAACAAAGGGAGCCAGCTACTTCTAGTAAAATAACTGCTGGTATTTCTTGCCAGTGACAAAATTTGAGCTTTCAAGAGAAAATTAGAATTTTGCCAAGTTGTTTCCACTACTATCAGCTTGAAAGCTTCCCGATACTTAAAACCTTTTCTAATGAGATAAATGGTGATAGAAATGAATGTGATTTATAAATATGGTATAAAATGTGTCAACATTTGGATGATCTCCCTAACCAAGTGAACCAATAAATCCAAATGGCCAGTGTATAGTGAGTGTTACAAAAATCTTGCATGAGTAAAAGATCCATTGAAAGTGCATGACAGCCCAATGGATTTTTAATGTAACAAAATGTGAAAAATTCGTGATATGATTTCAGAGTCTACAGTGGAACTAACCTTTAAGAAACTGCTACTTGATGAGTTTTGGTGTAGTATCAAAGATTTTCCAAAAATTTTTTTCCCTCCCCCAGGTTTTCCAAATTTATCCAAAAAGGCTATTGAAATACTTTTCCAACTACATATCTGTGTGAGGCTGGATTTTCTTCAACCAAAACAACATATTGCAATAGATTGAATGTATTAGTAGATTAGAGATCTGTTAGAGATTTGCCAAAACGTAAAAACAATGGTACTCTTCACACTATTTCTTTTTGTTTTGGAAACCAGTTTGCATAAAAATATGTTTTTTGTGCCAATATGTAATGGTTTATCATTTTAGAATGGATTAATAAACTTTTCTTAGTTTTAATTCCTAGAACAGTAGGCAAGACAGATAAAACCCACATAAACATAACCTCTGTGGGATCCTCGCAAATTTAAGAGTAGAAAAGAATCCAGAGACCAAGAAGTTTGAGAGCCATTGGTATATACGGAGGGAAGTAGGTTAAAAAAATCAAGATGCATGGGTTTGAGTGGCAGTGCTGTCAGGCACATACTGGGGACCTTTGGCTAGTCTCTGCTCTGGGACAGAGCAAGTGAATGGAGATTCCTTCCACCTTTCCAGTGGCCCAACCTGCCTCCAGCTCTGTAGAGTTTCCCTGATACTTTTGTCATCCTTGAGGGGAGGTGGTGAGCACAGTCTTTCCTTTTGTCTTGCAAATTGCAGCCCATCAAAGAGAGATGGAAGACCTGTTATGTTCATCAAGTGAGCACGAAATTCATTACTGTGGAATTAGAGGTTGTAGTAGGATTGCAGTGACAGTTTACATCCCTGGAAGGTTATCACCAGACAGTTCCAGAGCATTATCAATATGTCCTACCAAGATCATTCATATCTATTTAATGTATTTAAGTACTAAAGGCCCATTCCCTGAAAACAAGAGGCAAATGGGGTGGGGAGTGTGTTAGTTTCCTATTGCTGTTGTAACGAATTATCACATATTTATTGGCTTAAAACAACAACACAAATTTCTTATCATACAGTTCTTGAGGTCAGAAGTCTGAAATGGGTCTCACTGGCTAAAATCAAGGGCTGCCTTCCTTCTGGAGGCTGTGGGCGAGAATCAGTTTCCTTGCCATTTCCAGCTTCTAGAGGTGCCCACGTTGCTCGCTTGGGAGGACTTGCACAGGACATCTTTGGGGGACCATTATTCTGCCTACTTCAAGGGGTGAGGCTGGGGCGGGGACCCTAGAAGCAAAGGTTTCAGGACAGGCCCCATTGCCCTTGGCTGATTAAGGAGCAGACCTCTTTTCATTGTTTCCGTGGACCTTAGGGATTTCATGAGTTGTAATTAAACCTCTGTTATCAGGAGCTTTTTTATTTCAGTTGGAAAATGCAAGGTAGGACCGGGCGCGGTGGCTCACGCCTGTAGTCCTAGTACTCTGAGAGGCCGAGGCAGGAGGATCGCCTAAGCTCAGGAGTTTGAGACCAGCTGGAGCAAGAGGGAGACCTGTCTACTAAAAGCAGAAAAATTAGCTGTGATCGCTTGAGCCCCGGAGTTGGAGGTTGTGGTGAGCTACGATGAAACCACTGCGCTCTACCCCGGTGTGTGACAGACAGAGAGAAAGAGAGAGAGAGAGAGAGATGAGTATTTCAAAGTATGAAAGTAAAAGAGAGACTAGAATATGTGTGTGTATATATTTACTTGTAAATGCATAGGATATTTATATTAGGATACACATGAAACTGCAAACTTTGCTGGCTTTGGGGAGAACTAACTGGCTGGCTGGCTGGGGGATGGTGGTGACTATTGTTCCATCCATATCTTTTGCCAACTTTAGCGGATGTTAGAGCTTTTGGAGTCAGGGAGGTGTCCGTTATTCGCCTGAGTGAGCGTCCTCTCTTCCTTCCTCCTAGCAGTTATCCTTGTCTCCAG